AACTGCATGGCCGATTCCGCGCTCCCAGTCCGCGTTACTGCAGCCCTCGCACTGCAGCCTCTCATCCGCCACGACATCATCCGCACGAGCATGCAGCAGTCGATCCCGACCATTATGCAACAGCTGCTCAAGCTCGCCAACGAGTGCGACATTGACGCCCTGGCTAATGTAATGGAGGACTTTGTCGAGGTGTTTGCCGCCGAGCTTACGCCGTTTGCCGTGGCTCTCAGCGAACAGCTCCGCGACACCTACCTCCGCATTGTGCGCGATCTTGTTGAGAAGAACGACGCACGGGCTGGCGATGACGGTGACTTCAGCGACTACCTTGACGACAAGAGCATAACGGCGCTTGGCGTCCTCCAGACAATAGGCACCCTCATCCTGACCCTGGAGAGCACACCTGATGTGCTGTTGCACATCGAATCTGTCCTGATGCCGGTGATCCAGATTACGCTGCAGAACAAGCTCTACGGTGAGTTTATTCCTGTGCATCGTTGATCCCCCGAGTGACTGCTGACACTGCATATAGACCTCTACAACGAAGTCTTTGAAATTATCGACAGCTGCACATTTGCTGCCAAGGCCATCTCGCCGACGATGTGGCAGGCCTTCGAGCTCATCCACGCCACTTTCAAGTCTGGCGCTGAGCTTTACCTCGAGGATATGCTACCCGCTCTGGACAACTTTGTGCAGTTCGGCGCTGGTGCCCTTGCCCAGAAGCCCGAGTACGTACAGGCTCTGTATGGCATGGTCGAGGACATGTTCTCCGACCCCAAGGTTGGCGGTGTCGACCGGATCTGTGCATGCAAGCTCGCAGAGGCTCTGATGCTCAGCCTGCGTGGCAGCATTGACCAGCAAGTTACTGGCTTCATCAGCATGGCCATGTCGGTTCTCAACGGCAGTGACGTCAAGGTCAAGTCCTACAAGATCCACCTGCTGGAGATGGTTATCAACGCCATCTACTACAACCCCATCCTCGCCCTGCAGGTTCTCGAGTCCAAGCAGTGGACCAACAAGTTCTTCAGCCTGTGGTTCGGCAGCATGGACAGTTTCAGCCGTGTCCACGACAAGAAGCTCTGCATTGTCGCCATTGTGTCGCTCCTCAACATCAGCCCCGACCAGATCCCGGCCAGCGTGTCGACAGGCTGGCCCAGGCTTCTCCAAGGCATCACAACCCTCTTCAAGACGCTGCCCAGCGCGATGAAGAACCGCGAGGAGGCCCTCAAGGACGACTTCTCGTATGACCCCAGCAGTTACGACTACGAGGATGAAGACGAGTGGGATGGCGACGAGGCCAACTGGGCTGCTGAGGAAGGTACCGAGGAGCCTGCCGAGGGCCGCGACGAGTCTACAGCCTACCTCGAGTTCCTCAATGAGGAGGCTGCCAAGTTCAGCCAGCTTGAGAGCACATACAGAGACGCCGATGACTCGGAGGACGAGCTTGGCGAGGACAGTGTCCTGCTCGAGTCCCCCCTGGACCGCATCGAGCCGTATCAGCTGTTCCGCAACGTTTTGATGAGTAAGTGGATTGGTATACGAAACACCCTCGCGCAAGTGCTAACTGAGCTTCTTACAGAAATGCAACAAGAGAACCCGCAGTTCTACCAGGGCTTGGCTGGTCACTTGTCTGCTGATGAGCAGGCGGTTGTCCAGCATGCTGTTGGCCAGGCCGAGACTGTCGCCGCCCAGCTCGCCGCCCAGGCTGGGCAGCAAGGCTCGCCAGGAGCTCCTGCGAACGGGGGTGCCCGGTAGAGCAGTGTGCGTGTGGAAGAAACTGATAGGTGCCGTCGATCGAGATTGACTGCTTCCGGTCGCTGGCTCACGGCCAAGGAAGGTCCTCGGCTTATCTTGTGGATTGTGGGGAGGTGCCCAGACGCCATGGGCGTGGTCCGCTACAAGATATGCCTTGAGAGCAGGGTGGTAGGCAACCTGGAGCTTGGGCATAATGGATTTGGCATTCGAACGAAGGATAGCAACTGTCTTGGACTTGTTTGTCCCGGAAGTAGTTGCGCGGATGGGAAGAGCAGTCGTCGCTATCATGCCGGCTGCCAGGGGACGAGATGCGGTCCGCACATGGTCCCTCTCCAGTCATACGGATACCGGGATCATCGTCGATGCCGCTCGTAGTGATGATGATGCCACGAGCAAAACGGTAAGGAAAGGAAGAAATAAAGACAAGGAAGCAGTGGTGGAGGAAGATTCCCCGAAATGTTTCCCCCCAAATCACCAAAGAATAGTTAGAACATCTGCAAGCTACCCGACACCCAAAAAATACGGAAAAGGATACAAGACACGAGACAAGGCAATAGTGTGTTTGAACAGTGCCAGCGATTGTCATGTAGGAATCCACAGATGTGTTACAGGAAGCTTCATGATGGCATTGGATAGACTTCGTCTCCTTTGGGGGTTGATGTGTTTTGCTACGACATCTCTTGGAGGTCCTGAAGGTGGTAAAATTGACAAGAAATGCACTTTCACCTGGTACAATCGTGGGCTCCCATTTTCGTCCTAGCTCTGAAAGCCAGTTTCAGGGATTCTTCCCGGGGCAAAGTCGGCTAGCCATTTCCCTTCTGTCACTGTCCAGGTAGCAATATTGACTTGTGATCGGTTGGTTTTTTTGGATTGATAGTAGGTATTTCTTTGTTCTTCCGTAGTGCTATAAAGTACACACACGCGTCCAAGCTCGCCGCCGCCACCTCCCTTCAGCTGATCTTCTTGCCCATGAACCCGGCGAGCTCGTCGAGCAGCTCGACCGTCTCGGCCGGGTTTGCGATCCAGGCGGTGGTGCCGACGCTGCGGGCCTTGAAGTCGTTGCTGCCCGCGCTGAGGAACTGGTCGCCGACGTGCAGCGTCTGGTCGCCTTTGATCATGCCGCCGTCCGACGGGCTGGAGCCGCCGAACCACTTCTGGCACACGCTCACGCCCCAGCTCTTGTCGCCAATGTCGACGAAGACGTCGCGCCCGCCGTTGAAGGCGCAGAAGGGGACGGCCTTGCTGCTGTTGTTGTCGGCGCCGCCCGTGGCGCGGACGCTGAGCTCGAGCGTCTTCTGGACGACGAGGACCGTCTCCTCGAGGGACTCGCGGGGGATGCGGATCTTGGGGTCCGTGGGGATGATGCCGACGGCGCGGTCCTTGCGCATGACGGTGGCCGGGAGGGCCATGGTCTTTACGCAGTCGCGCAGCGCGGCCTCGGCCATGTCGAGCAGGCGGTCGATGCTGTCCTCGGACCAGGCGAGCATCTCGGGCGTGAGCCAGCGGCTGCGGGGCACGGGCGCGAGGAGGAACTCGGACGTCGGGTCGAACTCGAAGAGGTAGTTTGCCTCGCCGCCCATGATGACAATGTTGTGCCGCTGCTGCGGGGTGAGCACTTCGGAGGCGGCGATGGCGTCGAGCAGCCCGTGCAGCCGCGAGTAGTACCGCTCCGACGTGGTGTAGCCCGCCGCGGTGACGATGCCGATCTTGACGTTCTTGCGCATGAGGTCCAGCATGCGCGGGATGACGGGGTTGTCCGGCTCCAGGGACTCGCCGTCGTCGTAGAGCGTCACGTCGCCGTCAAAGGTGGCGAGCTGGAGCGAGCCGTACGTCGTGACGGCCATGAGCTGCGCCGTGTTGAGGATCAGCCGCACGTCGTTGAACGAGGGCGAGACGTAGCGCCGCGACGAAATGTACCGCTTGCGGTCCTGCGACTTGAAGGCCGCCTCGAGCGGCAGTCGCGTGAAGAAGCTGCCGATCGAGGGCACGAGCATCTTGAGCTTCGACGGCAGCGGGTGCACGGCCTGCTCCAGGCGGACTGTGGGCCGTGGCTGTCAGTCCGGGGAACATTGCATTACTTGTGTGTGTGTGTGTGTGTGTGTGTGTGTGTGTGTGTGTGTGCAAGGTTTTTGGAACTCACTGTGGTCGTCGAGCATGGTCTCGACATCCCGCATGATCTCGGCGTACCGCCGGTGTGCCTCCTCGGACATCTCGGCGACGCCGGTGTCAAAGACGCCCGTGGGCTGCGAGTAGAGCACGAACGGGACGGCGAGCAGGCCCTTGATCCATTCTGGACGAGGCGCAAGTCAGCCTGGTGTCCGAGCTGTGTGTACATGGGTGTTGATCCAGAGCATCATCCAGGAAACCCTTTCAATTACCTATAAACTGATCTCTCCGGTGCGTCTTGAGGGCGTCTGGTGGTCCTGGTTAGCATCCAGTCTCGGCCTGTCTTTGGAAAGAATCATCTCATCGGAGCAATGATCTCAGACTCACATTCCACGCGGTATCTGGACGTCATTGTGCCGGTTTGCAGGGATAGCCAGGTCCCCCCTTGTCAAGAGATATCGACTTCGGTATGAGGTATAGGTGCCGACACTGCTGAGGCAGAAGCGGGGAAAGAATAGAGTCTGAGGGTGGAAGTGCTGTCACGAGATTGAGCCGCGGAGGGTGAGATTGAGCGATGAGGGATGAAGAGGAAGCTATCAGGAGGTGAGACACGGAGGAGGTACTCACGAACTGCAGAGGCGGCGTTGGCCGCGTGACAGCGCCCACTGCCGCTGAGGTCCGACGGGGACGGTGGGGAATCGGGCCCAAGTCGGTCTGGGGCAGACTGCCCGATGCAGCTTAAGCCAGGAACCAGAACCAAAGGAGCTGCACCGCAGATAGCTCCAGGGTCGCCTTACGTACAAATTGGACCTGGGCACGCCAGCTGTCCAGGTGTGCTCACCGCTCGCCGGACGGGGTGATGCTGCTGTTCGGTGTCGTGGCTGGCCCGCCCAATGGGACGGGTCCAAGTCGCGAGGAGAATGCATCGCGGGGTAGGGGACCGGCACAGGCGTCAGCTACACACCATCGATGGACATGTGAAGCGGCCGGAATATAGAAGGCCGGCTCAGTCACCATGCCAAAAAGACAAGCCAGAAAGACATGCAACACGTTGAATGCTACCAACAATCCATAGCCATGTGAATCAAGTTGACGGACAAAAAAAGAAGTCGACATCTTGGATGCCTGCTGTGCTATATCAGCGACGCGAGCAGGATTTGAACCTTTGGCGGGGTTAGCTGGATGTTCCTGATATCCTGTAGACGCATGCCTGCACGTTGTGTGGCTTACCTGCGCTCCCGAAGGAAATAGATTTCTAGTCTATCGCATTAGACCACTCTGCCATCGCGCCAGAGCTTGTTGTTACGAACCATCACCTTATCGATCTACATGATCTCTTTATGTTGAGGCGAGAAAGGGGGTGGTTTCCCTCCTTCGCTCGAAAGTGCGCCCGATCGCCCAGGTCGTCGGCGACGACGACAACCAAGCGGCACCTTCCCTTGTGCACCCCATCGCCATTCTCTCTCGTCACAGCATTGACCTACCTAAGCGTGTGCAATGTGCCTGCCAAGTCCACCACCTCACATCTTCTCGACCCGTGACTTCATATCTATACCACTTCACGCACATCACAGTTCGAGATCAGGCTTGTCATGCTTTGCTTTACACGTGCTGTTTTATTTCTCATCGCGAAGTGAGTCCTTCTCGCTGTGTACGCCGCGTTTCAAGACGCCCACTTCTGTGTGTTGCTCTTGGCTTGCTCTGCCAGGTGCCTCAATCGAGGTCTTGGTATCAGACTTGGTTGCGACCATTTCTCGCCCTGTGTGAACGCCCTGATGTCCCTATGCTATGACCATCGTCACCCAGGAAGAAAACCTCGCTCTACATGCTGTTTCGTGAAAAGGTCTCCATCTTGCTCGCTGCAAGGAAATGGTGACATACAAACGGTAATGCGCCAACGCAGCTTCTTCTGTGAAGACTGCCTCATTCGAAGAAGAAAAGGAAAAGGGGGTATTGTGTTGTGCGCTGCTGTGGTGTGAACAATGAAATCATGCCGACCAATATTGTATCATGAAAGAAGGCTGAACCTATGGCCACGCCCTTCTATTTTCTGGGGCGGAAATAAAACGCTGATGAATGGGGTATGTCGGGGCTTGGAAATCATATGACAAGTGGAAACGTAAGTGGTTGTTTTTGTTGTGGTGTTGGTTGTAGATGTGCGCCTCATGACCAAGACGAGTATCGTCGTCCATGGATGAGCTTCAACGGCACTTCTGCATCGGTGTACATGACGATCGTCTTGCAGCCCTGTGCCTTGTCTTGCGTCGGGCCGGCTGTGTCGTGCTCGTGTTGCTGCTGGTGACATTGTGGACATGTAACAACTCCGGCTTCATGGTTGTCTGCTTCGTCGATTCTGAGCCCGCAACCTCGACAGACTTGACCAGGCCGCCGCGCGGAGACTACGTCGATGAGTCCCAGTTTGCTGTTCAACATGATGTCGCTGGTGGTGACTTGGCCTTCGGGTACTGTCACCTCAAGTGGCGTATCCGCCGTTCCAGTGGCTCCGGCAAGATGTATCGGCTGCTGTGTTTCGCGCTTCTAGTGCCTGCCTAGCGAGCCAAGATCACCGTAGGGCAGACCAAAGTTGCTGCCACCCTTGAACTTGAGCGGAATATCATCCTCGATTTGCTCAGGCACTTCCGGCTCGTCCGCCGCGCCATCGTTGCCAGTTGAAGCAGGCGCCATGGGCGCTACGGGCGGCTCGACTGCTGCCGCAGCCTCCTCCGGCGCTACGTTCCGTAGCACCGTGGGCGTCGTATCGGTAGTCTGCAGCTTCTCAGAAAGCAATTGAAGGAAAGGCTCGTCAACGGCAGGTCTGTTCATCAGATGCGTGGGGCCGGTCAAGGGCCGGTCGCCTTCACTGGACTCGAAGATGGCCGTTGGACCCTCCGAGATGGCCTGCCCATCTTCGCCATGTGACGACACGATCGCGACCGTCTCTCCTGTATGCTTGGCCATTCCCCGCTCGCTCGGTGACATGATATCGAGCACCTCCTCATTCGGAGTGGCCGCGCCGGAAGAGCCGGCTGTGTTGGCTGAAGCCGTAGACATCAACGTGGGGAGCTTGGAGAACGACATGGAATGGTTGGGGGTGTGCCCAGCATGCATAGTCAGTCTGCTTGCCTCGGGGGCCTGGAGTGCCTGGATCGCTCTCTCTTTTGGAGACGTGCGAGCTCGGCTGCCGGGGGAACCACCGGGGGATCCCGCTGAAGGGCTGCCGGCCTTGGCGACAGGCGGAGAAGGTGGCACGGGCTCGTTCATCGCAAAAGTCGGCTTCTCAATAGTGGGCTGCTTCAGACGAATGCCCTCGAGTTGCGGCTGGACCTCGCTGACGTCAATGGACGGAATCTGCGGGGGGCATTCATTTGGTGATCCTGATCGTGGTGAGGGGCCCTGCATGCGGGGGTCCAAGGGAATGAAAGGGCTCGACTCGGGCATGGTGACGCCTGATCCAGCGAACGGCTTCCCGGTGAGTGGCGAGATGCCGTCCTTGGGGCTCAGGAAGCGGATAGAGGCGCTGCCGGCGGAAGGACTTGTTGATGCACTCCTGTGCTTGCTCTGGGAAGCCGCGCGCGATTTGTTGCTGGGGCTCGATGTGTGTGATGATGCACGAGCCTGCTTGCCCATGAAGTCAAGCTGACGGGCGAGTGTGTCACGCTGCGTCTCGGCCAATTGGGCTCTCTGCTCCAGCTCGACAATCTTGAGTTCCAGGCTTGTCTTGTGCTGCATCCACAGGTCCCGCTCTTCATCCATAATCTCGCGCTCCTCGCGGTACACTTCCTCAGCGCGGGCTCGGTTGGCCTCTAGATGTGTCCGTTCAGCCTCCCAGTTCTCCAGGAGCCTGCGGTTCTGCAGAGTGACACGACGCAGCTGCAGGGCGAGTGTCGAGGCATCGAGGCTGTTGTCGGGCGAGGTGGCGAGCGAGGCGTTGCTGACGGCGGAGATGGAGGGCGAGCCCATCCAGGGCTGGGAGGAGTGCCTCGAGGGCGACAGGCTGCGCGTGCGCTTGTCGAGGTCTGATACAGGGGGGCTCAGGCGTGGTGAGCGGCTGTGCGGTGGGAATGGGATTGAGGCTGGGTTCGCGGCAATGCGGCCTGCGAGGTTGTCAAAGTAGTGGCGGTGGCCAGGAGCCTGAGGCTGGTGGAGAGCATGTGGCAGGGACAAGGGCGAGACGTCGGAGCCGCGGTAGAAGCCCGAGTGGTCGTGATGGTCGTACATGCCGCCAGAAGGCAGGAAGGAGTCGGACGGCAGTCGCGACATGGTGAGCATTGTGATGGCCGGGCGCGAGCCACAGTTGGCTTGTGGTTGGGGCCTAGCGGGCAGTTATATGGCGTAGTATGGCGTAGTGAGGAGGGCAGTTTTCCCCCTGACGTAGTTGAGTGACTCGTAGCCGGTGGGGCCCGAAAACGCGCCGAAAGTGGTCTTAGTCGTGGGATCGGGGAGGCAAGGTACAGCAACAATTGCAAACCAATGTCGATGTGCATGCAAGATTTGGAGGATTGGAAGTTGACAAGTCGACAAGATGAGAAGAAAGGTCAGGAGAACCAGGGGATCAATCAGCCTAGTGGCAGACGGACCGACGAAGCTTGGGCTGCTGGCTCTTCTCAAGAGAGGGTCTTGAGGAAGCTCGAACTGGCGGTGTTGCGGCTCGGGGCCAGCAGGAGCAGGAACAGGGCTGGTGACTGGGCTCGAACTGGGTCGCTATGCGTGCGCTCGACGTGGCAAGCGGGTACAGGCGGGGCCGGGCCTGGCTCCTCTCGGTCAAGCGTGCCCAAGGTGTGGACTCGCACGCAGGAACGCAGGTACGCTTCGGGCTCGCGGGCGAATCGCGAGGGGACGAGTTCGTTATGCAGAGCCCGCTGTGTGTTTCGGCTCGCTGGCGTGCTGCAGATTCAAGTGTGCTGGCAAGGCCAGTAGGGCCGAGAGCAGACGGAGTAGAGTGGCTTCTTCGTCGGGCAGGTGTCTGTCTAGCTGTGGGTCGACGCTGGCGTGTGCTCGGTCACCTCGGTGTGGTTGTGTGTAGACAGCTCTGTGGGCGTGGCTTCCATGCTCGTCCGGACTGTCTTGCTGGCGCCGAGGATTATCGCAGAGATGTCGGGAGCACGGCAGGCAAGAGATGATGGACAGAAGAGCTGTCAAGAACTCGAGATGGAAGGGGGGTGGAAGGGGGTTGATAGGTAGATGACGGGCAAAGGGTTCTAGCGGCCGATCCGGCCCAGGCACTAATTACGACAAACAGAGGACGAGCAGCACGCCTTCTGTCAGTGATCAGCCATTACAGGACGAGACAGGCCAGGGGGTGTGCGGCGTGCAAAGAGGCCGGAGTATGGGGAAACAGACCGCAGATGGGCTCAGGCGAGCAGTGGCGGCCGAATCACAGCGGCCGGATCAGCCAGCGGGCGGGCCTCGCAAGGGGTGCCGTCGCCGGCTATTTGCTGCAACGTCCAGGGGCGTGTGCCTCTGAAGACCTCGCTCCTTTTCTCAGAAAGGGTCCGCGTCCCACGAGCTTCCTCGGCCGGCGCCAAGCTTCGGCTGGTGGAGGACAGCCGGCGAAGAGGGTGTCCACGGGCCACCAGTGCCTGTCTCAGCGCTGCTGCATAAGACACTCGGGTGCCACCCACACCCTCGGCTCGACGGGAGTCAGCCGGCGCAGCAGGCAGGCTCGGCAGGGCTGGCTGGCTGAGGGATGGCTTGAGACGCTGCTGCCGCTCCTGTCGCAGCACCGGTGCTTTTTCCAGAGGGTCAGGCGAGATAAGAGACGGGCCAGAAAGCGCACCTATGCGCAGTATCTAATTTAGACCAATTGGTAGACAGCCAGCTCGACCGCCTGCCAGGCTCGGCAAAAGACCGGACTCGACCCAGGCGGCGACACGCTGGGGGCCGGCAGCTGCTGCTCCTCGGGTGGGTTCGGACTCGAGGATGGGCTGTTGTCAGCCTGCCACGTCGTGGCATTGCTTTGCGCTGATACCTCACCGCAATCTGCCTGTGATTGGAAATAGAAACCACCGTGCGGGCAGTCGAGTCGTCAGGCACAATGGCCGCGAGAGTTCGCACAAGGGGCGCCACCTGCAGCGCGTAGCCAGAGCTAGCTGCCCGGTCGGGTCTTCACATGTTTCGCAGCAGACTGTAGGTGCGTCGTGGTCTGCTTCCTGCGTGTCAAGGTGGCTGGCTGGCTCAAGTGGTCCCTGGACGGTATCCAGTGAAGTCTAATAGCGTTCGAGAGGTAGCTCTTCAGTGCTTGATGCGGTGCCGTCACACCGCCCACCGCCGATGGGATTTCGCTGCAATGCA